TTTTTGGGCACAGTAGTATTCCCTTAACGTCAATCATTTTGCATAGATGCCAGAATCACAATAATTATTCCTTTTTTCTTCAAAGAGAACATTTTGAATAAATATTCTCATATTTCAGCATTTTTACCTCAAAAATTTGTAACATAAATTTTCCAAAGTATCTATTTATGAAGTTTTTAATCAAATCCTACTCTTTCAGATGCATTTAAAAAAATAGTTTCGAACATAGTTGGGGACCGTTTTATAAAAATAATGATACATTTTCAATCTTTATCACTTTGTAAATGTTAAGAACATATTAGCAGAATTCGTTCAATGCAAATTATTTTATTTCATTTATTATATTAATTATTCAAATCGAATAATTTTATAAGACTGAAGAATAAGTTTACTAGTTCATTCATTTTTTATCTTATTTTATTTATTTTTTATTTGCTTAAAAAGTTAACTTATTTATTCAGTAAATGGCGTGTTGATTTTTCTTATTTCTCACTCTTCTTTTTTACATTGTGAGGCATTTGTTTTCATCTATTTTTTTTTTTATCGGATCCCATTTAAAAGGGGAAAAAAAAACAAATCATGAAAATTGACTTTGAAAAATAATAAAGCAATTCATTCATAGTAACCTAAAATCAGTTTCGATAAATATTAAAGTTAAGCAAAAATTCATATAACTAAATTCATAAATAATAAAAAATAAGTGTAAAATAAGTAAAAATAAATGTATTTGATCTTTTTAAGCAAAATATTTTTTTAGATTTATCTCTCTCTCTCCTTTTTTAAAAGGAAAATGTAAAGAAAAAAATGTTTGTTATGTATTTTTAAACATTCACTGAAGAAGAAATGATCAATGACTTTCTTTGCGAAGGAAACGTTCCAATTCATTAAATATCATCAAGAAGTATTTTGTGAATAAAAGTCTTATCAAGTGTAAAAATTAAAGTACAATACTTCATTTCTCACACGAGTGATAACCGGATGTTAAAGAATAGTCTCAATACAGTTCAAGTATGTTATAAATCAGAGGTGGCCAACCCGCGGCCCGCCTTGAACATTTTTTCAGTCTGTGAGATTTATCACATTTTTACAAAATATATTTATTTTATAATGGCGGAAGTAGTGAAAACCAATGTATTGAAAAAATACATTATGTGTGCATCCATATATTCAAAACTTAACTGTCGAAATTTAAAAAAAATTAATTTTGATTTTAAAATAATATTCTTGCGAGTATATGACAGTTATTACCTGTTTTATTTATGAGTTTACAGTTATGAGTTGGCAGAATAATTAAATTATTAAATTATAATATGTGAACTCATGATGCGCACGCATCTTGGAACAACTGATGTAACAGGTTTTATGTTTCACTTTAAGTGACCTCAGTGATGCAGTGACCATTTGATTGTTTACAGCAGAGTAAACCACACTTTTAGTTCAAGTTGTTAGCGCTTTTCGTTCAACTTCCCCCTGCGAATCGTATTTCGAAAACGAAATTGACCCAACACAAAACACGCTAAAAAAATAATGGACCCTAACTTGCAACACCCATTACGATGACCAAATACCCAAATTGAAATCGATTTGCAAAAGTTAAGTGAAAGATTGGAGAAACAAATATCGCACTAGTAAAATAAATATTTATCAGGGTATCTTTATCATAGTATCATAGTATCTTTATTATGTTATTTATGTTTACATGTAAGAATAATAGTAAACACAAAAATAATAACTCATTATTTTTCAATTTTTCACTCGAAACAATGTCAATAGTGGCTCTAAATCTAATATGGGGATATATAATTTTATATGCGGCCCGGGGAATTATGATGCATTCCCAAAGTGGCCGGCAAGATCATTTGGGTTTGGCCACCCTGTTATAAATAGTGCCTAAAATGGGCAGTAGCATTTTGAGTGTATCGAAGCACTACACAGGAAGCTTATAAATGCATGTAAAAACCCTTCTGTGTAATAAAAAATAAAAAAAAACCGTAACGAATCCTTTGACAGCGTAAATAAGCCAGACAGATATTACGACTGGACCTAGGTAGGCAGATAGGTAGGTAGGTAGGTAAGTAGGTTATGATCTATGGCACTAGGGCCAAATTTGACCAAGCTTAGCCAAACAAATGGTATGGCCTGTGGCGTAACTATAACCATCTGACGCCCGTGATAAATTTTTTGAATGGGGCCCCTCAATGCAATGTGCCATCTTATATTTTCTTTTTAATAAAGCTAAGAAACTTAAAGGTGCCTTTAGGTTTGCAATGTCCTTTTTTCATCACAAACCGTTTCAGCAACAACTGGAACACTAGGCCTACTGATGTTCAACAATACAAAAATAATATTAAATAATAATTTAAATCTTCCTGTATATCTGTAACCAATCGCCTTCAAAAAAATTACATAAATCTCATTGATTATTATTGCCATGTTAGATTCTATTCTATGGCACGAATGTGTCTGTGACAAGTGTTTTTTTTTTTTTTCTAATAAATCAAAACACTTAATTATTATTTCATATTATTTAAAAATAAAGTCGACTTACTTAGTGGTCCAAGTTCATAATACACCCGGTCTACAATTTTTCCAGCTGCTATTTTAGGAGATAAACCGAGTTTGTCAAGTAATGGACTAGAAAATGAGCGAAGTAACTTTCATATTACATGTCAATGATAAAATCATCAAATTTTCCCCAGCACTTGAGCCGATACACGAAGCACTTTCACAGTCAACATCCAGTATATTCAGAGCAATGACTAACACAAGCCACCAATGGAAATTGAATTCAAGACGTCTAGTGAACCAGCATGCGCTCAGTGGCGTAATTTTACTACTGCGTCAAAAAAGTAAGACCAATAATTATTTTTTTCAAAAACTCTTTATTTATTCTTATAAATTTATTTCATCGCTTTCAAAGTAATTCCCTCCGGACACAATGCACTTATGACAACTTATTTTCCAATCCTCAATGCATGCTAAAAAGTCATCGACAGGGATGTCCTTCAGGGGATAGCGAGCCACAGGGATAGCGAGCGGCGATTCACGGTGAATCTTCAATCAACTCAAAACGGTGTCCCCAGAGTAGTCTTTTGAGTTTAGGGAATAGCCAGAAGTCGCACGGTGTGAATACGATGGTTGTGGAACGACATGGGTTTCATTTTTGTCGAAAAAATCACGAAGAATCAATGCAGTGTGCGCTGGCACATTCAGTGTTTTCGGTACCAATCGAGAATTGACGCGTTTGAGGCCCAAAATGGAATTGGCTGATCCTTTCGAAATTCAAACATCATCAACAAGATCTCTAATTGTAAATCGACGGTTTGCAAGCACCAAATCTTTAATTTTTTGGACGTGAGCTTCGTCGTTTGAGGTTGAGGGTCGACCAGAGGGCTCTTCGTTTTCAACGCGTTCTCTGCCTTCTTTGAACTGTTTATACCACTTGTAAACATTTCTTTCCGATATAGGAATGATCACCGAATGCCTTCTACAACATTCTATACGGTGTCGCAAACAAAATTTAATGTAAGTTCTTTGCTCAATTCATTCAGACATTTCAAAAATCGCCAGAATCAGTTTTAGCGTCTCACACAGGCAAGGGCAACTCAAACACCAACGAATATTTTGACGTCAAATTTCATACAGATGTCTAGGACAGTGCCAGAAACCTAAAAAAGAAAAAAAAATGAAATTCCATAAGCCCCGGGAATTTTAAATTGAAAATTGGTCTTATTTTTTGGACACAGTAGTACTATCTGAGACCCTTGGAAAATTTTTTGAATGGGTCCCTTCAATGCAAAGTGTCATCATTGTATTTTCTTTTTAATAAAGTGCTACCTAAAGGTGCATTTAGGTTTGCAGTGTCCTTTTTTGATCGCAAACCGTTTCACTTCATCATTTAGTACTTTAACATAAAATGACCTTTAATAGTATTGTATGACGAAGGTGTAATTTTTTTTCTCCAAGTCAATTTCAATCAGTTTGTTTTGGTTTTGATTATGTGTATTGCTAATGCAGGGCTGTAAGGGACTGCAATCAGTGTTGCAGTGCAATACTGTCACTTTGTGGTCGGTTAGTTTCTTCATTTCCGCAGCACTGTTCGTTTGTTTCTTCTTCACTCTTAAAGTGTCTACTTTATTTAATTTAAAATAACTTCTTTTTTTTTCCCTTCAAACTCTATGTTTCTTTTGCGTTTTTCACTTCCACTAAGATGTTTTCTATTGCTAGACACCTTATTATGTAATTTCCACAATCGATTAATTAAGTTTACGACTGATCGCGGATCAGATGGACCAAAAAGTAAGATAATAGTGACTCACGGAGAATCCGCGAAACAAAGGGCTTCCCAGCTTTCTGAAAGTCTCTAACTTACCAGCGAGAAATTCACACTTTTAATTTTGTGGGTACCTATTAAAGAAGCAGAATTCCATAACAAGTGAATTTAAAAATGTCCCAGGGGAACATGGGGTGGGGGTATCGGGAATTTCACTTTTTATTTGGTAAGTATCTATTCACGAACCAGAAATCGGAGAAGTTCCTAGTATCGAGATTACCCGGTGCGTAACTGTTTCGATTAATATTACTACCAGATGCGATATATTTTTCATACAAATGAATGCGTTCAAAATCTTGACACACCTTTTTTAAATTCATCACCTAAGTAACTAAAATTTATTAAACATAGAATTAATAAATTTTACTTTGTTTTGTAATAATAAATGTTGGGCCTTTTCTGTACTCATGTCTGGCGAGGCCCGTCGCAATTCGCCCGTTTTGCCATCCTATTGTTACACCACTGGGTAGGATATAGGAAGAGAAGGTTGGTGGAGAAATATCTGGAAGGGTAATTAAAATTATATAATGGAATAAGAAAATCTATTTAAAGAGTTGTCTGGAAGGCCATGATCTATCATGGATTGTAGTAACAGGGTTGATGATAATGAATTTATTTCTAACTTTTAACACAAAACGACGCCACTATCATTATAAAGGGCCTGATGGCTGAGTGCAGCCTGGTGGCTAGCGCTGTGGTCTTCGGTATCACAGGCATCAGGTTCGAATCCTGGCGGTGGCATGAATCGTTGTTAAGGCTCGTTCCCACCGAGGCGAGAGACGTGAAGATGCAAGAGGCAAGCGACCAAATTTTTTCGACCCCTTCACAGCGAAACGTCCGAAATAGCATTACGCATAGTGAAAAACCGCTTGGAGTTGAAAGTTGGGCTACTCCACGCGGCGAACTGCAAACCAGTTTCAGGCGACCGCGGTGAGGTCAAATTTTGGTCGCTTGCATCTTGTCGCCTTGGTGAGCACGAGCCTTTAGTGTTTCGGAATCCACTTTAACCTGTAGGTTCCGGTCTGTTAAGCCCTCATGTGCACACAATGACCGTAGAGCGACAAACCAAACGATGGCCGAATGACTAGCGCTCGAGGCCACAGGTTTCGGGTTCGAGTTTCGGCTGTGCCATGTATGTTTGTAATGTTGGGAATCCCCATTAAACGGTAAATCCCGGTCTGATATGATCGTAGAGCGTTGTGGTGGTAGTGTTACTCGCGACGATAGCATATCTTCAAGTGCATAGCATATCTACACGTGCCCCCTGGGTAGTGCTACTTGAGTAACAGCTTTCGTCGGTGCAGCCCACATTGGGCTGCTCACAGGGAACATAGTAATACGACCCAGTCCTCGACGCAATTAAAAAAAAATATCATTATAAGTGAAAGTATCTGTTAGAAGGTAACTTGGAAGAAAGAAAGAAAAATGTTAACGCACAAATATCACATGAAAAATGAGTATTAAGTGGGTCAGAAGGACCTGGTGGATTTGAAATTGAGGGGAGTCGTTTCAAAATTTGACAAACGAGACCAAATACCCATGTGTTAATGTCGAAAAGGACACAATATCTCTGTTGGTCGGAATGACCTCCCTCTGGGCAGGATGAGAATGGTTATACCTCCCCCCCCCTCTCACTGGTATAACATTATGTCCTCTATGGACAGCAATAGTACGGTAAGAAAATCCTTCTTCCTGTAGAGTAGGGGAGATTCGTAAGGCTTGTCTTATTATACGGTCGTTTACTTTAAAGCTACGATTAGGTTTTTTTTTTTTTTTTTTTTTTTTTTTTTTGAAAGATTTTCAGATTTTGAGGAAACACTGAAACAGGGTACAGAATCTATTAGAAAAAATTAAGTATTTTGGGTTAAGTATTGGGGGCCTGAATGACCGAGTGCCTAGCACTCTAGAGTTCGGTACCACAGATTTCGGGTTTGAGTCCTGGCAGTGCCATGTAAGTTTGTAGTGGTTCGGAATCACTTTAAACCGTAGGTCCCGGTCTAATGTGACTGTAGAGCGTTGGGCTGGCAACCCTACCCTATAAAAAAAAACTATCTCTGCTAGTAGGCAGATGGATTGGTCTACCACGGGGGCTGTTACACCTATGAAGAAGATCTATGTTATTACTCTTCAAGATGGAAAACTCATGCTTATTGCAGATAATTTTAATATACATTTACGATTCTGTTATATTACTTTCATTAATAAAAGAATAATTTAGTTTAAAATCAAATCAAAAATTTATTTCTTAAATTCTTTTTAGTTAGAAAGCTGCTTACAAATTAGATATAAGGATATCATTTTGTCCAATTTTATTTTTGTCGAGCAATAAATTTTGAAAAAAATTATTTAGATGTCACATTTTTAGTAAATGTTTATGAGACTTAGAATCAATTTAATTTAAAATTAATTGTCAATTTAATTTAAATTTAATCAATTTAATTAAAAAATTGGAGAAAACATATATTTCAAATGATTTAGTTTTGAGTGCAATATTCTGTTAGCAAATAAAAGGGAAATTATAGAGCATGCATTAACCCCCCCCTCTTTATTTATTCTTGTTTAACTGTAAAAACAAGTAATATAAAAAAAATTTAAAGTCAATTCTTACTTTTTTTTCATTATATTGCTGAAAGTCCTTTATAAATAATTTTCATTCATTTAGTTAGAAAAAATTCTCTCTCTTTCTCTCTCACACACACACTTTCCATTTCTTTCACTAATTTATCCACACGTTTCATTTTCCATTTTGTTCCCTCCTTGACTCAGACTAGAACCCAGAATGAAAAAAAAGCCATTTTTTTTCCAGCGATCTACACGCTTCGCCACTGACGGTATTTACTCCTAAGTTTAAGATCCTGCTAAATATCTTATGTAAGAGAAAAAAATTTCTCCCATATAAAACTAAAATTATTTAATTAAATTTAATTAATTAATTAGTTTTTGAAAAAACTGTATTAACATTAAGTGTCATCCACTACATGTTTAAAAAAATGTATTTGAACTTGAGTGGAGGAATAAAAGATATTTTACTAATGATTTTTGAACGAAAGTTTGAACAAGATATATATAGCGATAGTGTGAACTAATAGTAGGAATTGAATAAAAGAAGACTGTACAGTGGCGAAAACAATATCTGAAACTATTAATTTTTTTTTTTTTTTTTGTCAAGAAAAAGAATATTTTATTATATTTCCAACTTTAAAACTACTCCACGAGAATAAAATCAAAATTGCAATTTCCTACAAGAAGTCCTCATTTATTTCCTGTTTTTGAAACTCGCGAGTCATTTTAATTCTAAAAGTTTAGGTAAACAAAAATAAATAGATATATAAATAAAAATAGATGAAACATCTTAAGATTTAAAAGTAAAACAGCAATTTTAGGTATATGGAAAAAAAAAAATTTTTTTTTTTCACTAAAGAAGTAAATCAACTTTTTTCCAAAGCGTCTTTTGGATGCTAACACGCTTAATAAAAAATAAAATTTAAAAAAAAACTATTAAAAAGGTATTTACGAAAATGATTTCAAATTTATTTCACTGATTTACATTAGGTAATAACTTTAATTGCAATTTATTTGTTTGTTTGTTTATTTTACCAAAAAAAAAAATTTTTATTTAAATTTTAAAATATGGGTATTTTGACCTGATTACAACCATCTAGCAGGTTTAAATTTACTTAGGACTGCTCAAATGACGTTGTATCCAAACTTTACCACCACAATTCGGAATGAATTATCACAGGTGTTGCATTTGGTATGTTGGCATCCTGCATCCCAAAACCCAAATTAAGGTATGTCATGCATAGGTCAGTAAATTTAATGTGTCCATTCTCGTGATATACACGAGACTTTTCGATTAGCTTCAAATCAAGTTCTCTCGAAAACTCATCAGTCTGCCTGATGGGAGTTTTCCAGGTTTGCTCCCATATGACAAGTAAATGCCGAGTAATCCCTACTACTACTACTACTACACCCAGGGCCGGATTTAGATGAAAAGGGGCCCTAGGCTTTTCCACTTATGAGGCCCTTTCACCTCCCATTTTTAAGTTTGTAAATTACACGAGGGATACTAAAATACATCATTACTGTGATATAACATATATCAATATGTTAAATGAAACATGTTGTGATGGGTACTAATCTTTATAAAAAATGTGGCACGGATAATAAAAAAAAAAAAAAGTCGAGAACACTAATTTGTACATTTATTCTCAGCACCCTATATAGTACTTGTGACAATAACTAATCAAACATAACACACAACATTTACAAAGAAACAAATTTCAAATAATAAAAATCTTTGACTACGAAAATAAAATATGCAATACAAATTATCCTATTTTCTATCAAATTAAATTTAATATATTCAATACATTGAAGCTTAAAGCAAATTCAATTCAAATAAATTTATTTATTTTACTGTTTTTAGAACAGTGTAATTCTAATTTTGCTAACAATTTGATTGTAAGCGCCTCTTGATCTTGAGGCCCTAGGCTGAAGCCTAGTTGGCCTATAGGAAAATCCTGCCCTGTATACACCGCACAACATCACTGTGCCTAGAGCTGAGTTGCCCCTTTACAGTTTGAGAATGATGTGGGTGAAAAGTCTGATTGGGCTCTGTGATGCTCTACTATCATATGAGACCGGGAACTACGGCTTAAAGTAGTTTCCGAACACTACAAAAATCCATGGCACCACCGGGATTCGAACCCGAAATCTGTTGTACCGAGCGCTAGACACTTGGCCATCAGGCCCCATGGCGGATAATCCCTAAAAATCCTCCCTGAAAGCACTGTCTTCCCCTTCGAATCGGTTCGTGGTATGCATGAGGACCACTGATGTTCTCACCTCACTCTTTGTAACTGGTAGAAGCTGCGTAACCCTAGGTACGGGGCTGAAGTGGGAAAAAAAAGAAAAGAAAACATTCGAAAACTCAACACCATATCCGCAAAGCAAATCTAGTTCAAAAAATTAAATTTCTATATAAATTTCTCAAAGTTTGAGTGTGTGTGTGTGTCTGTCCTCCTAAAAACGGCCACAATTTACCTCCAGATTTCACCAAAAATGACAGAGATAGTTCTACAAAACCTAAATAATACAAAAAATACAAAACCTAAATAAACTCATAAATATTTCGAAATTCGATCGATATTTATTAAGAAATTACTCATAAGTTAATGCCAATTTGGAGACCTTTCATGGTTGACGTTATTTTTTACGCTGTTGTACCACTCATAGACAAGTTAGCATAAAATAAATAAATAACTAAAACATATTAACCTCTGAATTGCAACCACCTAAAAGTTGATTTAATAAATAAGGGGAAAAAAATTTGTAATACCTTTCACCAATAAAAATGCCCTGTTTAATCCTAGACCCCTGTGTGGTTTGATGGCCAATTGGCTGGCGCTTTGGCCTTTGGTGCTTCAGGTTCGAATCCTGGGGGTAGCATGGATGTTTGTGAGTGGTTCAGAATCCACGCTAAACTGTAGGTCTCTGTCTAATTAGCCTAAAGTGTGCACAACATGATCGTAGAGCGACAAACTAAACCAAAATCTAGACACCTGTACCTTCAAAAATGGGCGTCGATGTTGCAATCCGAAATATATTGTCAATTCCTTAAGATTACAGTAATTCTAAATGTTCGAAATTTGATGGTCATGGTTTATTTAATTTTATGGTCATGGGAAATGGGGGGTGGCAGCTTTAGTTTTGATAGAGGAACCGTAGGTAGAAGTCTG